CGCACCGGGTCCAGGGGCCCGGGGCCGGGACCCCGACCACAAATGTGGGCTCCGGGGGGCCCGGAGGCTCGTCGGACCGCCGGACGCCGTCCAAGATCGTTCGCAGGCGGCTTCGGAACGCGCTCCGATGGCTCCAGATGCCTTCCAAGACGCCTGTCATGACACCAAGAAGGTCCCAGAAGCCTCCAAGACGCTCCGAGAGGCAGCCCAAGAGAGGCCCAAGAAGCAAAAATCGTGCCATTCCTATGGGAAAACGTATATTTTTCGCATGTTCGCCTCTTGGGCTTTCACCGCGTCCAAGACGGCCCAAGAGGCGCCCAAGACGGTCTACGAGGCCTCCGGGAGCGCTCCAAGGCTGCGCACGAGTGGCCCAGGACGGCCCCAAGACGGCCGAAGAGAGCCCCAAGACGAGTTCGAGAGGGGTCCCAGACGGAGAAAGCCAACCTCGAATTCCGAGCTTCCGGCCCAAGAGGCTCCAGGAGGCGCCAAAATGCCGCCAAGAGGCGCCAAAAGGCTCCCAAAAGCACCCCAAGACGTTCCGAGAGGCACCCCAAGAGAGGTCCAAGAAACAAAAATCGTGCCATTCCTATGGGAAAACGTATATTTTTCGCATGTTCGCATCTTGGGCTTTCACCGCGTCCAAGACGGCCCAAGAGGCCTCCAAGACGGCCTAGGAGGCCTCCGGGAGCGCTCCAAGGCTGCGCACGAGTGGCTCAGGACGGCCCCAAGACGGCCCAAGAGAACCCCAAGACGGCTTCGAGAGGGGTCCCAGAAGGAGAAAGCCACTCTCGAATTCCGAGCTTCCGGCCCAACACATCCCAGGAGGCGCCAAAACGCCGCCCAGAGGCGCCAAAAGGCTTCCAAAATCAGCCCAAGACGTTCCGAGAGGCACCCCAAGAGAGGTCCAAGAAGCAAAAATGGTCCCATTCCTATGGGAAAACGTATTCTTTTCGCATGGTCGCCTGTTGGGTTTTCACCGCGTCCAACACGTCCGAAGAGGCTCCCAAGACGGCCTAGGTGGCCCCCAAGAGAGTTCCAAGACGGTTCACGAGGCGCCCAGGACGGCAAAATTGGACTCCAAAATGGCCTAAGAGAGCCCCAAGGCGTGCCCGAGAGGGGTCCCAGAGGGAGAAAGCCACTGTAGAATTCCGAGCTTTCGGCCCCAAGAGGCTCCAGGAGGCGCCAAGAGAGCTCCAAGAAGCCCCCACGAGAGACCCAGGACGCCCCAAGAGGCTCCAAAGGCGGCCCAAGAGAGCCCCAAGATGGGCCCGAGAGGGGTTCCACGCAAGTTGTTATTGTATCGCTCGGGAAAGGACGAGGATGAGGAGGAAGACGAGGAGGAGGAGGAGGAGGAGGAGGAGGAGGAGGAGGATTCCTGGGTCTGTGACTCGACAGAACCTAAGCGCGCGAAGCGCGCGCGTGGTTCTAGTATGCATATATGCTTGTTTCTATACAGTACAGATATATGTATATTTATCAATCAATGCACACATGTGTACAAACAAATTTGCATACATGCATGCACGCATACACACATACATACATACATACATACATACATACATACATACATACATACATACATACATACATACATATATACAAACATACAGTCATACACATACGCATACACAAACACACATACACACAAGCACACATTTTCACACACATACGCACATACATACGCACACACGTACATACATACATGCATACATACATACATACACACATACATACATACATACATACACATATACATACATACATTCATACATACATACATACAGTCAAACAAACATACATTCACATACATACGTACACACATACACATACATCGTACATACATACATACATACATACATACATACATACATACGTACATACACACATACATACATACTTACACACGTGTACACACATACATGCATACATACATACATACGACTATACAGACGTCCATACATACATACACACATACATACATACACACATACATGCATGCATACATACATACACTCACACAGATACCTACCTATCTACCTACCTACATACATGCATACATGCATACATACACATACATGCATACACACATACATACACACATACACGCATACATACATGCATGCATGCATGCATACATACATACATATACATACACATACATACATACATACTTACATACATTCACACATACATACATACATACATACATACATACATACAAACATAGATATGTGGATATATATATGTATATATACATATATATACAGATACATTCATACATACATACATACATATATACATACATACATACATACATACATACATACATACATACACACATACATCCATACACATATACACATACACACATATACATATATACACATACACACATATACACATATACACATCCATACACACACAAACACTCACGCACACATGCATATGTATAACTATACATACTGTATATGTATATGTAAATACATCTGTCTACATATACATATACATTTTTATATATATATATATAGATATACACAGAAATTGAACACGTATATATGTTTACACACACATACATATCCAGGGGCCAGGGCCAGGAGCCCTCAAGGCAACCTCGAGGCCCCCCAGGCTGGGGGCAGGGATCCTGGGCCCCTTCAAGACGGGCCAGGAGGCCTCCCAAATCCCCCACGATGTCCCAAGAGGGATGGAAAACGCCGAAGAACTGTTCCAAGACGCCCAAGATGGCCCCAAGACGTCCCAAGAGACCGGCCAAGACGCCCGGAGAAGCCTCCAAGCGCACTCCCAAGAGCGCTCCAAACCGCCAAAATTGCCCCACTCCCTCAGGAACACGTGCATGTTTAACATGCACGATTTTTCTGCCTTCACGGCGTTCAAGATGGCCCAAGGAGCCCCAGAGACCACCCCAAGGCAGCCCAAGAGGCCCCCAAGAGCGCCCTACGACAGCCCAGAAGAGCTCCAAGACGGCCCAAGAATCGCCCAAGAGAGTCCAAGAGAGCCCAGAAACGGCCCTCAAAGTGGCCCGAGAGCGGGAGTCCGAACCAACAATTCGAGGTTTCCGCCCCACGATGCACCCAGGAGCCCCAAAGAGATTCCAGGATGCCCCAACAGACCCCTAAGGCGCCCCAAGAGGCGTGAACAAATGATGCCCACAAGGCTTCAAAATTGTCTCCAAAGCGTCCCCGAGAACCCTTGCTTGACATCCCAACGAACACCCGAAAGACTGCTCCGAGGAGTGGCACTGTGAAGATGTTTCGAGCGGGAGCCGCTCTAGAGACGTCGACTTGCGAAGACATCCCAGGCGGGATCCTTGTCTGAGGAATAGAGATAATTACGAGAATCTATCTGTTTGGACGGGCGCCCCTCCAGGCCTGCACCTCCCCTCTGGTCGGTGTGTCAATTGCTCCGTTCATCCTTCATCCTGCCTCCGACCTATCTTGCCTTGCCTCCTTCCCCGAAGATCCCCCTCCTACCTGCCCGCCCATGTTGCCTCCTGGTCCGCCATCCTCCCGTCTCTTCCGTCTTCCCTTCTGGCTGCCTCATTCCTCGCTTCGCGGGGTGCACGTCCAGACCACGTGCGGTCCAGTCCATGTGTGGATTCCCAGGGGCCTCTTGGGGGCTTCTTGGGGGCTTCCTGGGGGCCTCTTGAGCCCTCTTGGGTGCCGTTTTGGTGCGTATTGGGGATGTTTTTGGCTGTTTTGTAGCGTTGTGAAGCTGTCTGGCTCTTCTGAAGCCGTCTCAGGAGCCTCTTGGGGCCGCCCAGGGACTCTCTTGGGGTT